CTTCCTAATACCTAACCTAAATCTCCCCTCTTCCAATTTAAAACCATTACCCCATGGTGTAGGGTTTGTTGGAAGCACATCTGGGACTCAGCTGCTTTGTTAGCCTAAAAAACAATGTCACTGCCCAAGGACTGGCTGTGTTTCTCTCTGGGCAGAACTTTGTTATGAATGTTTAGTCAGCAGTGTAGTTGTGACAGGGAGACTTTTAAAGTGCCTGGAGAATTTCAACAAAATGGCTGCTTTCCTCAGGTTTCCTTCCTATCTGGCTGTATCAACAGGCTCACTGCCCTCAACTCTGGGCCATCTTCCTCAGCTTCAGCATGTAACATTTAATAGGTGGCTGCTGTGAAGGAGATCTGCTGTTTCAGCTTTCATCAAACCACCTTTGGAGGGAAACAGCGTTTGAACATGTTCACCTTTCCCTCGCTCACCGGCCGTGTCTGGCTGCTTCACTTAGTAACATTTTTCTTTGTAAACAGAAAATACCCTTTGTAAAAGCACGGTTCTACCTGCTGCAGGGTCAGGCCTAAGAAGTAATCCTGTCTGAGCAGCATTGTAACCTGTTCACAGCTAATCTTTGCAGTGTAAGAGTCACAGACGACAATCCTGTGTGCCACGTGAGCAGCCCATCCAGTTTCAGAACAGAAACTCTGATACCTCAGTGCTGTGTTAGCTGGTGCTGGTTAAATATGCTGTTAATTCACATAGCTCTGGGGAAGGCCAGTGTCCAAAGTGATGGCTGAGAGCTCATACAGCAGCACCAGGGCTGGCAGGGGGCTGGAGCAGAACTGGTGCCAAAACAGGGGTTGAAACATCAAATTGTTTTGGTGTCATTTTCAACCCCTATGACAGGGCTCCAGGACAGAGCTGCCTTGCAGCAGCCAACCTCTCCCTCTGATCACTGCTGTGATTTACTCCTCCAAAGCTGCTCCCAAATAATTGCAGAGTAAGAGTAATCAAGCAATTATTGCAGAGCAGCTGGTGCCCAGTACCTTGTTGGTGTGCCCTGTCTTGAATTAGAACGATCCTTAATGCCAGAGGTTTTTGCATTTGTATTTGCATTAACTGTGGTTTATTTTATGCAAAGCAAGCCTCTCAGCACTGCCTCCCTCCCTGCCTTCAGCCCTCCCTGCAAAGTGCTGCCTGTGTTGCTCTCCACACCACATACAGGCACGGGCACTGCTAGATTCATCCTTGCCTTCCATGTCAGTTAAACAACTAGTTAAGTTTTAAATACTAGGCATTGGATGTGGTAAGCAGAGAAAGGAAACAGCCCAGCCATTTCTGGTAGGAGCTTGTCATGCTGCTGATGTTTTCATTTTATTTTTTTTTTTTAATTAACATGTTGAACAAATACTGCTGTAGCTAGAGGAAGCTAAAGCCCAACAAACCAGGAAGAGCTGCCCCTCACGCTGTGTTTGTGTTACAACACACTGAGCCAACAGTGCTGGTCTCTGGAGCATAATGCTAAATAACTTGTCATAGCTTCAGATAGTGGTTTGGGTGGGAAGGGAACTAGAAGATCATCTAGATCTGACCCCCCTGCATGGGACACCTCCTATTAGAGCAGGTTCCTTAGAGCACCATCCAACCTGGCCTTGGAACACTTGCATGGATGGGGCAGCCACAGCTTCCCTGGGCATCCTGTACTTGTGTCTCACCACATTCACACCAAAGAATTTCTTCCTAATACCTAACCTAAATCTCCCCTCTTCCAATTTAAAACCATTACCCCTTGTCCTATCACTACACACCCTGGTGAAAAGTCCCTCCACAGCTTTCCTGCAGCCCCTTCAGGCTGGGATACTTAGGGGGTCTGATCTAGGGAGAGTTTTAGAAAGATGCAGTGCCACTCGGTTGGGAAAATGGAGAAGCCACAATCAAGACAAAACTTCACAACCACATGTCCTTTGGTAAGGGGTATTTGCTGGATTTGCCTTGTGGCACTTGGTAATGACTTTAATTCCTTATTAATATGGCATAACTTACCCTTCAGTGCGGGGGAACCTGTCTGACTTCTTTAAAAAGAAAAGTCAGCCAGAGACCACCACCTCAGTTGCCTCATAGCCTGTTAAGCAATTAATAGGTAGTCTCAGAAGCCCTAATACAGTGGCTGGGTGGGCTGCTATGGCAAGGGGTAGGATGAGACTTCAGGCTAATTTAAAATTCTCTTAATGCTATTGAGTGAAAAGTTAAGAAAATACTGGTTCTTTATACATCTGGCAGATCTCTGGGCTGAGTGAAGGATCCTTGGGTTTGAGAAGAGCTGCATGTTTTACAGTCTGAAGCTCATTTTTAAGTGCGGAGCCTGGTGGGGGTGAGGGGCTCAAGTGATGTGCTTTATAGGTGTGAGTACTGGAAGGGTTGGATGGAGAAACCTCTGCATGCTCTGCCTGCTGTGTTTAGATTTCCTGGTGTGAAGTAAGGTATGCCCTGAAACATGGAAAATTTTTCTAAAAATCAAAGTTGTGCTGGGCTGTAGGAGCTTGTGCCATAACCAACATCATCTACAGATAAAATCAATTTGTTTACTGAAGTGTATTTTCATCTCTGATTAAATCTCTTTAGGAAGCGTGTGTGTTTAAACGAGCTGTTAAGAGCACTGCTATATATTGCAAGTAGTATTACAGAAAAAGATATTGTAGAGTCCCAAATAGAAAGTAACTTAGAAAGATCAAATACTAAAGTCCTGAATGAGGCTGCAGCCCTCCTCCCTGCAGCTGGAGCAGCCTTTCGGTGAAGGATAAATTCCCATATAGCTTCTTAGGGTCAGGACTGACACAGTTCAACTGCTCACTCCCCCTGTCTGCAGTGCTGGCACAGGCTCTGATCAGGGATTGATGCTATTTGAAAGCTTTTTCTTTGTTTTTCTTTTCTGTAGGTGGAGCTCTATGCTGGTTAAGCACAATTCTCTCATGGCTGCAGCAGCTTGAGCAGTGTTGGCAGGGCAGAGCACTTGTTGGCCCCACTGCCAGGGCAGAAGGTGGGGATGCAGCTCCCTTGGGGATACAAACTGTGCCAAGACCATCCTGTTGCCCAGACAGCCTCTCACCCTGTCTTCAGGGTTTACGCTCTGTATCCCTGTTGCAGTTGCAGAGAGAGGTGTATCAGCTTGTTGCTTTGGCTGAGAGCTACAGGGAGAGGGGAAAATAACTCACATCAGAGCCATGAGCTAGTCCAGCTTGTCGCAGAGCTGCACCACTGCTGCTTTCAATGCAAGGAAATGGGTAAATCTGCCCCAAAATGAGATTGTCTCCTTTGGGGGAGACTGCAGTGCTGTTGTCCTGACTCCCAGAAGTGTTGGAAGGTGAGGATGCTGCTTCCCCAGGGCCAGTCACAGGTGGTTGTCAGCCCAGCTCCTTGTTGTATTACTGCAGTTAGGAGCTTGGATCCCTATTGCTTGGGAGACTTGTTCAAAGAGGGACTGGAGACACCTTTTCACAATTCACAGGTTTTGACAATCCTGGGTTCTGGTTATTCTGCCCCATACTGTGCAGCAGATTTGCTGTCCCAGCTGTTTATGGGGCTCCACACGGCCTGGGTCAGGGATCTGGTCTGACCTTTCTAAAGCTGCTTTTGTTCACATGGGCTTTTTAAGCGGGAAAAATGTCCAGCCTTCAACAAGCTGTGCTGACATTAACAGTAAGAACACACTGGAGAGGGAGAGGAGTGTCACTTTTTATTGTATAAACCACAAGACTAGTGCTTTGTGCTTAGCTTTTGACCCTAGGGCTTTATTTTAGTGAGTGTTTTGTTGGTGTTGCTGCTGAAAGATGCTGTCCTGCTTGTCCCCTCCTACCCTCCCTTGGAGCTAATGCAGCTGTTTTTGTGGTCAGGAAATCAAGCAGATTTGGGAACTAATTCAGTGAAAAAGCAACTTAAAGGAAAAGAAAAAAGATCAATTTCTGTGTCAGTGATTTGCAGGGTTGGAGAGTAAGATGGCTGTACTGGTGTGGACTGGTGAGTGTAGGACATGCAAGCATGCAGCTGAGGGGAGGGCTGAGCTGGGATTGCTGCTTTGGGCAGCAGCACTGGCTTTTGGGAGATTCAAGTTGTAGCTGTAGCCCCACAGGCTCAGAAAATCACATTGCTGGCTTACGTCCTACTTTTCAACAGCTTCAGAGTGTCCATGGAAAATTTGCCCTCAGGCAAACTTCCATTTTGGTGTCAAATGGCAAAGTACATGTAGCTACTGTCAGGGCACTCCCTCCCAGTTCCCTCCATTGCATGTAAATGATCCTGAAGCTGAGCACAGAGAGTTTGGATTTAGGGAGCTAAAAGATGGTTCTGGGGTTTCTTGGCTCATACAAACAAAGCCTTGGCTGATGATACAGGTTATGCTGGAAGAAAAACTTGTGTAGAACTGAAAATTGGCTTTTATTTCTGGTCCTGTTTCTATCCTTTCTGGGCTATGTTTCCTTCCTTAGTTGTATAGTTGCATAGTATTTTCTGGATCTTGGGATGTGCCTGGAACATCTGGGGACTTCAAAGGATATTGTCATCTTATGCTGGCAGCCACTTTCTGGGAGAGTTTCCAGCCCAAGTGTTTTGTTGGTCGGGGCTGACACAAAGAAGGAATATTCTTGTTCTGCAGATAGTGTGGGGCCTGTGGCACACGTGGGTGGGATGGGTGGCTGTTGGCCCTTTCTGCACTCTACAAACATCCTGGGTTTACCTTGTGGAAGCACCCTGGACATGGAGAGGGTGGCACTTAAGTGTTGTGGCAGCAGCAACTCACCTGTTCCTTAACTGCTCAACCCTATTCTCATTGTATATAGTAATTTTGCTTTATAGAGATGATTTTTTTTTTTCAATTTTTCTGTCTGTCAAGCGAACCTATTTTCCAGTCTGTGTTGGTTAACATCATTTGTGCAGGCAATACATGTTACTAGGTGCTGATTTCCCCATTTGCTTATTCAAAACTCTGCTTGGTGTTCTCCTAGCAGGATACCAACTTGCTCAAGCAGTCACTCAACTACTTACTATTTTTCTTTCTGCAGAATCCAGCGACTATTACTCGAATACTGCTTAGCCATTTCAACTGGGATAAAGAGAAGCTGATGGAGAGGTAAGCAACCATCTTGGCACACAGCCACATTTTGCCTCCAACCTGCAAGAAATGTTTATTACTGGATAAATGAGAATGCAAGAATGCACAGTGTGCATTCCATAAGATATATACAAGTATGTATCTTGTGTAAGCTCTAAATGTTCCCCCTGTAGCAGCCTTTAACTAGTGACTCCTTGTTTTAATATTATTGATACTAATTAGACTTCAGAGAAGTTTTGGAATTTAGTTGCCCCTTGGAGAAAATGGTGCCTTCCATTTTAAACACACACAGGCACAGGATTTTCAGAGGCTGTGGAAAAAAGCAAGCAGGGACAAGTCCCTGTTCCCCTGCAACTGTTTTGGATTCAGTTGCTCTTGTATGTCATTCTAGCATGTGTATTCCTGACGTGTTTATTTGTTAGTCATGCTGAGACCAAATTGTTCCTGACTGATAAAGGGTGCTAGTAAAGTGCATCTGCCTTGTCTTCATCTTTGCAGCTCTAGGGGTTTTTTTAGCGTGTGTGTAAATAATGGTTTGAAGTTTCCTTCTCCCCTCCCCCTCAGAGCCAAGCGTTTTATGGTCACTTCTCATTTTTGATTCCCAGCTCATGGGGAATGTTGCTGATAAAGGTGCTTTTTTTAGGTGGCTGTTATACAGTGGAAGTCAAATCTAGCTACAGTAGTAATGCACTTTTTTTTCCCCCCAATGCTATTGTTGCTGCTGAAGGGAGTGTGAGGGAGCTGCAGAATTCTAGAAGCTGGGGGGAGAATTGGTCTGGACTAGGATGAATGGTAAAGGCAGTACAGGGACTTAATGGTTGTTATGGTCTTTGTTGGTCTTAACTATTAAGAGACAGAAATGGGAAGGCAGAAGGACTCTGAGCCTGGTAGGATTGTTGGGCCTTCTCTGGATGACTATTTCCTTTGCCTAATGATCAGGGGATGAGGAGATAGGAAACTTAATAGCCTGTAAAGCAGAACCCACTGTTGGCCCTACTGTTGCACTGATCAATACCAGTTAACAGCTCTGTGCTGGGGGCTGAGCCAGTCTTCCCTAGTGATCTTTTACATGGGTGGCAAGTTTGGAACATCAACAGATTTTCAGTTTGCTACAGATAGTTTTGAAGTTGAAATATTTCCACTCTCCTGGGATAATGGCTTTAGGACACCTTTAGCTCCCTTGGTGCAACACTTCAGTTAGTGAGGGTGCTCAGGTATGTTTTGGTTTGGCCTAGGTTTTTTTGCTGCCTTTTTAATGAAGTGACTGTAATTTTTAAAGCTTTCTACTCTTTGCTTTATTTTTCTTAGATTGACCTCTTTTAGTTCATGTTGGCAGTACAGAAGCTTGTGTTACAAATATAGTCACATTGAGGCTATTTGACTGCAACTGTTAAGCCTTCTGATTTAGTTCCTTCTCTATGGTGTATCTCCATTTATTTGTATTTGATTTTTCTTGTGCTGGTTCTTTGGTCAGGCTAAAGTTCACTCTCCTTGGCTACTTCCATCTTACTTTGAGATATCTCTACATAAGTGTATTGAAATGTCATCCCATTAATCAATTTTTTTTTTTTCCCCTTCTTACAGAAGGGTTGTTTGTTAAGGTTAATTTAAAAAAGAAATGCATAATTTGGACTGTAGGTTTTTTTCAGAGGGAGGTGTCAGCCACTTCTGTGTGAGGTATTATCATGGAGGCTTTTACAGTTTCCAACCAAAACACTAAGTACACTTAAATATTTACAAAGTCCACAGGTAAACATTTACTCTTGGTACATATTCATTAAAATACTTATCTTAATTCTATAGGATTACTCCTGTGAGTAATATAATGTGTGACCTTTGCTTATACAACCCTGTAGTAGTCACAGTTCTGGTGCTGATTGATGTTCTTTTGTACTAGAAAAACACTTAGAACATTTTCTTTCAAGTAGCTGGTGCTGCTTCTGTCACTTCCTCACCAGATATTCCCAGGAAGCCCTTTGCAGATCTCTGCTGGTGCTCAGCTCTGTTACACCAGAAGCCTGAGATCTGGTTCTTGGTGTTGAAGAAGAACGTGATTGCTGCAGTGATAGGTGAAGGCAGGGCTGGGCAGCAGGTGGTCACTTCAGTAGCCAGGACACTGATGGAGTTGGAAATGATGCCACTACAGATCACATCTTTTTACCAAAATAGAGGTTGTTCATGTTCAGATGAATCTGACAAGCTGGTTAAGCCCAAATTTACAGTTGGCTGGTCTTGTAGAGCAGAAATCACTTCTGAGACTTGTTTGGCTTTGTGTGTGTCCAGCAAATTTTATTGCAGTGTTGTGCTGGTGTAAACAAGCTGAAATCCACTGGGAAGCATTTGTGGAGAGGCACGTTCCAATCAGGAAAAATATAAATTTAAATGCTGAGTTTTTTTAAGGGATAAACCCCCAAAACTTACTTTTACCTGGAAAGTAACACTGCCCAGTCACTGTGTTTTCAGTGTCTGACCCAAAGAATTAGTGGTGTTTTTTGTTTTTTTTTCCTCTGGGGGGCTCTGACTTGAAACACTTGATCTGGTATAAATTTGACCTCTTTTGATCACAATAACCATTAGAAAGACTTGACAGGACATCTCTTGTTGTTTGCAGTCTGGGTGGTTTTAATGCTTGCTGAGATGTAATGTTTGGGTGCAATTTTTGGTACTTGATTTCACACCAGCTCAGAGTTTGACCTGGGTTGCCTGATGTCACATCTGTGCAGGGTCTGGACAGTGTCTCTTTCACCTTAGTTCATCGTGAGTCAGCACGATCCAACAGGCAGACTTATCAAACTTGGCCTGTAGTAAAGCAGATAAAGTGGCTTTTTTTTTCACTAAGTCTTGAGTGTGATGAGGTTTGAGCTCATGAGATGAAAATGTCCATGTTTTAAAACATGTAAAACCTTTTTTGTTGCTATTATGCATGTTTTTAATAAGCAGGTTGTTATTTTCTGTGCCAGCTTTGCGTTGTGTTACTAAGAGGGAAGATATGTTACAGGTATTTATTCCCCTTAAAATGAAATTGCCACAATTGGAAAACTGTCCTATCCAGTGTTGAGACACTGATCATTTAACTGTATCCAAAAGCAAAACTGGTGTTTGGATGGATTTGTTACAGGAGGAAGTTCAGCTTCTGATGTGCCACGTGTTCTGGAGAATCAAGATGTTAAATACTATGTTTTCCTCTGTCTCATGAGCTTGGTTAATAGGTACAGGAGAGTAGCAGGTGCAGATTCCCCAGGTAACCCCAGGAATCAGTGAAGGAAGTGCTCTGGCTGATGACTTTATTTCAGTTACCTTCCAGTGTTACCATGGCTCATCACACCCTTCCTGAGGATTTCCTTCTGAGAGGAATTTTAGGGATGAACATCCTCATGATGAAGAGACTAAAATGCAACTCTCCTGCTTTGTGTGCCTTTCCCTGGTCGTTTTTTGTTTTTTTAAAAAAAGTCATTCAGCATGTAACCAAAGACCCAATTTAATCCCTGGAGGTACAAACAGAGGCATTGCAGCCCATCCTAGGGGCTTATCTTGGTGGCCACGTGGCTGCTTTCCCTCTGAGCAGAGGACAGATGCCAGGGTGGCCCTGGTGGCTTGGCTGCTAGCCCAGATTGCCTCTTCCTCTTGCATCAGGGTCTGACTCCTCTCAGTAGGTACCTGGCTGGCTGCTTTCCTTTGGGCAAGTAAGTGTTTAACACAATTCTGAACAGGTGAAAAATAGCATGTGGCAGGGGTTTTGTAATGAAGAAATCTCCTTGCAAGAGCACTGGTTCTCTGTCATTCACAAATGCCCTTTCACTAAAGTCAATATCCCAAAGTGTGTACTAGAAGCAATTTTTATTTGGTGAACAGGCTTTTTATCTTTGATAATCAAATCCTATCCAAGGGAGTATGTCTAGAAAATTGTGATTAGGCAGTTACCAACAGCAGGGAATTTTGAGGAAATAAACTTGACAGCTTGATCCCTCTGCTGAAGAGACTGGGTACTATTATGGGTTAGATGTTAGGAAGCAGTGAAGAAATTACAGAAAAACTTGGAAATAATTCACTCATGTGTCTGTTCATTTTAAAGTAGAGAAAACAACTTGGTCTGTGAAGGGAATAAGTTTTGATAAACTAATAGAACAGGGGGTTTGAAGTCAGTTGTACTGAGCAGAGAATCTAATGGTGATTGAACAGCCCATAATATTTCTGAAGTATCAGAAATGCTGGAATTACCAAATACCTCCATTGCAAGGGGAGAGGAGGGCAGAAGATTTAACATCATAGAATCATGGATTGATTTGGGTTGGAAGGGACTTCAAGATCATCTAGATCCAACCCCCCTGCATGGGCAGGGACCACCAGCCCAGGTTGCTCCAAGCCCCATCCAACCTGCCCTTCAACACTGCCAGGGATGGGGCAGCCACAGCTTCCCTGGGCAACCTGGGCCAGGCTCTCACCACCCTCACACTCCAGAATTTCCTCCTTATGTCTCGCCTCAATCTCCCTCTTTCAGTTTTCATCCATTTCCCCTTGTCCTCTCCCTCCCTGCCCTTGTCCCAAATCCCTCCCCAGCTTTCCTGGAGCCCCTTCAGGCACTGGAAGGTGCTCTAAGGTCTCCCTGGAGCCTTCTCTGCTCCAGGCTGAACAACCCTGAGGCTTAAAAGGCTATTAAAGGTGTTGTGCTCATCCCTAAGATGAAACTAAGGAGTGAGCTGCCAGGAGGCAGCCCTTTAGTGGTGAGAAGCTGAAGAATGAAAAAATCAAACCCTGGAGTTGTGAAGGAAGTGAGGAGAGAATGAAGGTGTTTGCTCCAGAGCAGAGGTGATGGCAAGCAGCTGTGTGATGTAAAATAACATAAATTGGTTCAACTGTTAGGATGGTCTGTATGAAGTTACTTTGCTCAAAGAGAAGTAGCAAACTAGGTGGAACCTAGTATTAAGTCCCTTATCAGTTAATTTTGGGATGTTTGTTAGTGTTAATTAATGACTTGGCACAAATGTGTTTGGAGGCATTTCATTTGGAGGAGGATCCAG